GGTCTGAGCGGCTCCCACAGAGAAATAATGTTTGAAGGCAGGATGGTAATCTGGATGAACAGACGGCCACAGACGTTTTTTTTTCAGGAGGACTTTCTCACTTTTAAAACATATTAAAACTACTTTATACCCACTGATCACAGCAAATATAGCAAAGCTGCTCTCTTTCATTGAACACAGGAGCAACAGAAGCATCTGGACTCACTTTACTGGACGTCTGACCTTAATGTGGACAAGCGCCAAAAATGAAGCAGATGCTGGTTTTGCTGCTTCTAGCACTAGCGGCCTGAACTTTGCATTAAGGAAATCGCTGCCGAACACAGTTGCAAAGGCCTAAGGTTGCAAAGGCAACACAGTTGCAGGCTTGGAGTCGCTGAGTAGGTTCACAGGAATCTTTACTTGCTAGCTAGTGGAATTTACTTGCATTGTTAGCGTCACGCCAGCTGGCTTTACCCTGCTACTTTATAATCAGTTATAGTTCACCGGAGTTTGTATAGCTTTTATTCCGCTAACGCATCACGGCGCGCCTTATAGGGTCAGTTAGCAGCATTATTTTTTTTTTTTTTTTGCTATGAGTGAGTGTCTGAATGTCTAGTGAATGAAAAAGTATTGGACTTGAAATTTCTCACAATGCACTTTGAAAAGTAGTGATGGTCGATGGTCACTAGACGAGCAGATGCATCCCAGAATGCTTTGCAAGAGCTCTCGTTGTAAAGCGCCATGGGATTTGTCGGGTATCGTCAGCAGCGGCTGCAGATAATAAAGATGGCACATGCATAGCTAGGTGACCAACGGGGTGTGAAAGGTAGTGTTCATCGTCCAAAGTTAACGGAGTTCACTATAAAGTCCACTATATCATCCCTATAGGGATTTAGGGTTTTAGATTTAGGGCGGACCTTTAGACACAGCCTATGACTACAGCTTAGTTCTGATTCAGCTGAAGAACACTTTGTTCCTCCATGTGTTGATTTCTTTTTTATCCAGAGCTGGAAGTGGTTCCTAGTCACTTGGTGACATGGAGATAAACAGCTGGGTGTCATCTTCATGGTTGCTAACTTGGGTTTTTAAAATAATCTGAGTTGGGAGGTAATTTGGAGCTAATCCTGTATCTGTGTTTGTGTTGCGTTCAGAGTGATCTGGTTTCCATTGAGTGATTTTTGTGGCTCCGACCTTAAATCAGGGATTCGCTGCTTTAAGGGGGAAGTGGTGTTCCAGTGGTCAGGGCATAGAGCTTGGAATCCTGAGGTTCTGAGTTCAAGTCCCACTCCCACAGACTGCCACTCCCTGAGGAAAAACCCTTAACCCCACACTGCTCCCTGGGCGCCGCTCAATGGCAGCCCACTGCTCCCAAAAGGGATGGGCAGTTATAATTTGTCCAATGTGAGATCAATAAAGTTAAATTATTATTATTTTATTTTATCATGCATTAAATGGCCAATAACCTTAGCTGTGTGGTGCAGCCTGTTGAATAAGGTTATCAGAAAGCATTTCCCAAGGGGAATAAAAATGATGGTTTCTATAGCTTAACAAGTAGAAGCGCTGCTTGCACTCTTCCCACGCCTTTAACTGTCTTTTCTTTCCTAAAATTAGTCCAATAAGTGTTGCTTCTTCCTGGTCTGCCATGTTTATTTACTCTGAACTCGGGTTTGATCTTGATTTTGTTACCTTTTCTGTGTAATATCTGATTGTTCTGAATGAAGTCCTTCTTCGTTTGCCTCTTACTGTCGGACCAAACCTGTTATATCTGCTGTCTTATACATTCTGGACTTTTTAAACCTGAGTCTGGATTTCTTCCCGTGAAATCACATAAGTTCATGTTTCTTTCCTTCAGCATGTGCAGCTGCTGACCCAGATCAACCTGCTGAGCCGCCAAAGCCACGCCCTAAACCACGAGACTCACCTGACCAGGCGCTACCTGGTGAGTATAGCAGCCAGAAGCAGCTGTAGTCCAAGGCAGAGTTCTGGATAAATGCCACTCTGAATAAACCTCACTTTTAGTGAAGCCGGTTTTCCTCTTTTGGAGCAAACAGCAGATGATGCAGCTGTTTATGAGTCAGTAGACTGGAGAGGCTCAGATGTTGCTGCTGCAGGTACGGCTGGACGATTAATCCTATAATTGGTTTACACAAATCTGATTATTTTGCCCATATCTGACCTGTATCTGATCGTTTCATGACAATCTGAAAAACACAGATCTGATTCTTTCCCAGGGTTTCTGTAAAAGTAATTAAATTATAATTTTTGAAATGAAGGCCTTAATTTGCATTAAAATTCATTAAATTTTATTATCATGGCATTTAAAATGCCAGAACAAAGTCTGAATTCTGAGATTAAAGTCAGAATTCTGAGAAAAGAGTCAGAATTCTGAGAAAAAAAGTCAGAATTCTGAGAAAAAAAGTCAGAATTCTGAGAAAAAAAGTCAG